GCATGAGAAGCTGAAAAATCCTTGACTTAGTATAAACACTATTTGGCAACAACTGAAAACATCAGTGTGTTATCAACATTCTTCTCACGCTGAATCCAAGGCATAGCACTATACAAGCTCCTAGAAAGAAAATTAACTCTGTCCCAGCTGAAACCAGGCCAAGAGTATGAATGGGTTAAAGAGCAAAATAGAGTGGAAAAAGGAGCTGGAAAAGGCTGATAAATATGCTCATCTGGATGTAGCCTCTACCTATGGAAATCCTTAAGCCACTGAGTTTCTAAAGCTGGGAGGATCCAACTGGGCATAGATTGTTTTGCATGTGTCTCGTTTTTTCTGCTTTTTTCTCCTACCCACCATTAGTGGCCACTGTCTGAGATGGATGGCATCAGAAGGGTCTTTGGTCTGACCCAGAGTAGCAGTTATAAGTTTGTATAGCAGGGAGAAATAGCAGCTTTAGCCTTTTATTTTCTGTGGGATTGCAGTGATTTATACCAGGACTTGAATGTGGTTTTTGCTGGGTAACTTTATAGACTTCTTGTGCCACTTCATGGGAGTAAGCTGACTTTTGTCATGGCATAATAGTGTTAAAAGCAACCTTTGTTTTCTAGGAAGCAGGATCTTCTGTCTCTTAACTTGGGAAAAAAACATATTCTGCATATGCAATACTAGGTGTCTGTTTAAGTCCAGTGACAGTATTGAAATGTCTGTAGCAAAGTTAGAGCATACGATGTGCATGTGGCCTTTGTGTTGTGCAGTAACATGGTGCTTCTTTTGCTTTTGTTTCCTGAATAGGGAAGAGGACAAGAACATTTTTGATTACTGCAGAGAAAACAACATTGACTATGTAACCAAAGCCATTCAATCAGAAAAAGCGGACGTGAATGTCACAGATGAGGAGGTATGGAGAAAAAGATACAGCCCATCAATCTTTCAACTGTTTTCTATGTTAATTTAGTGCCACTCCTTTTCAAAATTCCCTAGTTAGGATTCTTATAACAAGGTACTACAATAGTTGGTCAAACACTTGGTTATTGAGACAGGGATAATCTATTTGAATATAGCTTTCCACTACATTTCTAGCAATGTGGATGTACTAACTGTGATGCTGTAGCGTATCAGAAACTTACTTCCTATGTTATTTTCAGCAATGCCAGCAGCCACTTGCAAAATAAGATCTTCTGAAATACCCCCTCTCCCCACCTCGTACACTAAATGTGGTCAAATGGAAGTAGGAAGTGACGGAAATGGCTTTTTTGACTGATGATCTCTGTTCACGGGTGAAGTAGGATTTCTGCCATGCCATCAGCTTTTCATTGTTCCCAGGTGGAGGGCAAATGAGTGACACTGGCTTTCCACCTTCACAAAAACAGTGATATCGTCCAGTCTTTCTCTGCTCATCAAACTCAAAACACCATTTCGCCCTAAGGAGATAAGACTGGCATTGCCAGAAACCTCAAGAAAAAGATAAGGGTCTAAAATTGTGAATTGGCTTGATCCTTTTCTTGGTAAAAGTAAACACCTGGTGTGGACAGTTCCCTGTTCATCTTTCAGGAAATGTAGTGGTACCAGCTTTATTCCCTTGGTTTTGACGCTTGCATACTGCCACCTAGCCCTGCTCATGGTCCATCGTATGTACAGCTACTTTTGCCCACTGCTTTCCAGCACATTGTGTTTTGGTGAACAGATGAAGTGCTTACACATTCATAGACTGAGACGCCACAAATTCAGTTGGGTTCTCCTGTAGCTCTAAGCAGATTTCTGCCCTCTGAGCCATGACAGCCCCGGCTGGGGCTCTGAATGCTGATGGCAGAGCCTTTTATTATTAATCAGGAATTCATGTGAATTAATTTTCAGATGAGAGGAGGGAGGGTGTTCACGATCAGGGTTGGAATTTCACATCATAAATTCAATGAACTGAAACTGTCATGTGCCACACAGTCACTGCAACAGCACCATTACTGTGCTCCCTCCCTCCTTCCGCTGATCACACGTTACAGAAGTAAATGTCCAGGGCAGTCCCACAGAACATGGCTGGAGTCCTTTCATTAATAAAAGCTCATTTGGGGGATCACACACATGCAATAAGTATATAATAACATTATGTTAGCATTGCTTCATTTCCACTGGCAAGATGCTCTTTCATAGTTAGCAAGTTCAGAAGCTCATACCTTCCTTTGTGTTCAAGCAACAAATGTGCTTATTTTCAGCCAAAGAGATTTTGTTTTTTAAAAAAAAATCAAAATATTTGGTGAAAGATGGCTGAAATATTTTTGTGCTCTAAACACATAAATGTTTAGAGCCAGATCTGAAAACTGCCAGGTGACATCCTTTTTGGGAATTATCCATGAGTCTTTGATGTGAAAGATCTACTTCTGAACTAATGCATATTAGCACATGACTGTTGCAGAGTACGGAATTGCTTCAGCACAGGCAGGAGCTGAAAACCCTGCCTACCTGTGAAGAGCTCATGGGAAGATTCCCATTGGTGCAAAATTCCCCCATAGATTAAATTCTCACAGCCTCAGTGATTTTGGCTTACCCCAGCAAATGCTCAAACAGGGAAGTAAGAAGTTTTGGCTGGCTTCATTAGGCTTGACTCTAACTGGTCCAAAAAAAAAAACCCAAAAGCAAAACCATATCAAAAAGAAAAATCTGAAAGAAATATTTATTTCATATTATGTTAAGAGCTGAAACCATTACCAATGTTGTTTGGTATCCAAATGTGTTCTTAACCATCTGGAGCATAGTTTATTTTCCAATATCATGCAGGTTGATTGAAGTTTTAGAACCCATTTTAGACTAGAGATAACCCAGACCGAGCCTTTGGTAGAGTGAAGTGTATGCAAGCACAATCTTGTCATTTTTATTAACTATTTTAGTGTTACTGTATAAATACATCCTGCCATATCCAAAAGATGCTTCTCCTAGCCCTCTGAACATAACTCATGCTGTCAATCCTTTGATTTAAATGCATATAAATTTAAAATGGCAGCAGGGATACATACAAAGAGTTAACTTACTATAAAACAAAATCTACTGAAGCTCCAAATAGTCTTGTGCTAAAATGCAAAGACGCTAGGCTCAACCTTTCCTTGTACAATAAAGACTTGACTGAGGTTGTAAGGTGTTCAGATTTTATTTGTGTGTGATACCTTAGTACTGTATCTAATTGTATCCCCTCATTTTGTGCAAACCTGAAATAAGTGAAAGAAATGAAGAATAAAAATGTAAAATGAGAACAAGTGAACTTAACTCGAAGCAAAAGGATTTCAGAAAGGGCAATAGAAGTCTCTGGGGTTTAGATAGATGCACTTGGCAACTTTTAAAGCGTAAGTGGTCTTCTCCCCACAAGAAATAAAGATCTTCATGTACATCATTCAAGACAGGTTACCTGCTAACAGTTTGGATATAATAAACTTCAATTTAGAATTAAACAAAGACTCTAATGACAGTAATCAAGTACAAACTTCCATTTACTGTATCTGAATTGCCCAGAGTTCAACAGAATAGATTGCATTCACTTAGAAAAAGTAGCACAGACTAAAACAACCTGTTTCTCTTGCCTATGTCAGCAGGACTAATGAAATAAGATATAGACTGTGGCTGTGAAGTTGCCACTGGTACATCCTGGTAGTGTGGATTGCTTGCTGCCTTTTTGAGAACAATATTTCTTCAACTTTTAACAAACCAGAAACTGCTCAAAGACATGGATGAGTTGCTTTTGTAATTTGTGCCAAGGGCTGTGGAGGTTGTAGATAGAGAAATTTTTTTTCATTGTTGGAGAAATCCCAGTAAACAAACATGTTACCTGTGTGCAGTATTTAAGCCCTTGCCAAAACTTTAATGAAAGGCATCTGAAATGATGCTCGCTTAGTCCCCAGTCCTCATGCTTTTGAGACAGCAAGTGCCAAATTGGTGCCAGCTTGCCAAGGAAAGGACAGGGGAAAAAAATGGGTTGAAGAAGGTTCACATACTTCTGGATTTACACGTTTATTTCCATTAGAAAAAATTTCCCAAATGTTTCAGAGCTCTGAAAGTGATTGACTTCCAAATCAAATCTGAAGTTTACCTGTATAATTGCAACAACGGCCCTTCCATTCACTGTTTTTGCTATCACCAGGCAGGGGGATGCAGCCGTTCTATATATATCTCTTCTTAATTACTGGTAATAAAACACTTGCCACAAGTTAGAGTGGCTCTCATTGCTATACAGCCATTACAGCTGCAAACATTGTGCCTAGAAGTATAGCTTAATATTGTAGCACATCCATTCAGTTTGGCTTTGTTCTCTTCTTTCTCCGCACTGGCTAATTGATGTGAAAATCATTCCCATCCGTTTGTCTGCTGAGACTCAGTATATCTGAGACGAATCCCTGTCCTGTGCTTTGTTTGTGAACACCCTGTGACTTGGAGCTGAGCAAAATTGATGTGCTGTTGGCTTGAGAAACTGCTGCAGAAGCTGGCCAAGCTGGCAGCAGTTATCCAAGCAAAGCACAGAAGATTTAAGAGGCAGGGTTAGTGCACTGGGGCTATTTTTATGCTTTTTTTTATTAAATACTTCAAAGGCAGGGGAAAATGCATCCTCTCAAGTAACTTCTGCAACTACTGTCCTGTGTTTGAATTGCATGGAGGGAGTACCTTGATGTTTGATTGCATTTAGTCAAGAGCTCACTACTGCAGTGCTTTCCTATATGGAATTATTTGTGTTGCTTTGAGTCTCTCACTGCTTAATGAAGTACTCATATGGGAGGTGTTTTGGGAAGGCTCAATCTGTGGCTTTTAAGATTTCTGCCATGTTATTTAAACACACAAACACATTATATACTGACATAAAGCAGCAGCTGCATGGACTAAAGAATTTTTCGACGCACATAGGCAATACCCATGCTATACAAAGAGTTGGACTGCACATTCAGTTTAAGTTTGTCTTATCGCTAAGGTTTGTTTTAAGGAAGACATGAGAAACAAGTGGACTTTGTAGCTGTATAGCTGCCTAAGTACATTAGCTAGAACTCCTGAGTGTTTAATTTGCCTGATACTATGCAAACAGGAGTTAATATTATCTTGTTTTAAATACAAGTTTCTTAGTAATGCTTTTTGTTATGCAGTAAGTAGGTTGGGATTCTTCTGCAGGTATTTACTTCCACATCAAGTGGTGTGCTCTTGCACAGAAGGTCTCCAAAGTCCCTTACACCCTGTGTTTAGGGCATAGCATGCTGCAAGGATGCAGACATTTCTCAGGTGGAACGTGTCAGCTTTTTAGTAGTGCACAATTACAATGCAGAGCCATTTAAGGCACTAATTGGAAAATATTGTATCCATTTAGAATTGCAGAGAAAATATATAGGTAAGCAGAGTGTAATTACCCAAAGTGGAATTGGCCCAAGACTTGAAATCCATACTCCTGCAAATAGCACAAGGAGATTTTTAATGACTATAGATGATCAGGCTTCAGTTTCTTGTCTTGTTCAAAAGGCAATGTTTGCAGCAGAACTAGCTTTCTAGTGTTATGGAAAGGCACCAGTTGCACAGTGCTGCAGTACCCCTGACCTGACAGAATTGACAGCACTGTCTGTCCTGAACTGTTGGTTTTACTTTATTGGCCTCAACCAAGTTCAGAACCAATAAAATTAGATTCTGCTTTTCCAGAGACAAATGCAAACCAAAATATTATAGCCACTAATCTGTAACGTGAATTTTGATATAAAGGATAGAAATGCCTTCATTTTGTCGTGTAATTGCACAATAATTACACTTGTGTAATTACAATATTACTCATCTGCACATATATAAAGAAACTGAAATAATATGTTGAAGTGTTTATTGCTATTGTGCATATTGCAGATAGTGCTTCTTTCTTTTGAAATGAACATCTGTGGCACAAAAAAAGTTGGTATTTCTCCAACTGAAATCCTAAATCTTAAGTAATTACCAGTGCAGAGATGAGTTAAGGATGCTAAACATGACTTAAAGATCTTTCCATGTTTACCAATTGTTTTAAATTGTACTCTTTCCCCCTCTTAGACTTTGATAGTGGTGTTGAGTGCAAGAACATTAATCATTAAACGGCCCATGGATGTCATCAGTGCTTCCATAGAAAGTCATTGTCAGAAAATTCATTCTAATTCAAGGTTAATTAGTATAACATTAAAATTATGTGTTACAAAAATTAATTACTTGCTGGGTCAAAAAGTGTGTTAAAAAGCTTAATGCCTTGTGTCTGAGATCGCATTTCCTTACTCAAAATCATGTTCTACCTCTGCTGCCCTGCCCAGGAATGTCCAGCTTCAGTTGCAAGGTGTCTTCTGCCCCTCCTGCTGTTTTGGCACCATGGTTGGGAAATTTGGCTCACAGTTCCTATTAGCAGATAAATGAGTTGCTCACCTTGTTCCCCACTGCTCCGTTGAGAGATTTATAACCAGCCGTGGGGTAATTTAACTGATTTCATTTGTGAAGGTGTGTGACTGTTTTCTGTAGCATACTGGAAAACGCAGGTCGGTCTGATGGTGTCAGTGCTTGGGGGATGATTTCTTGGTTATCTGCAGGGTGATTTCCAAGGAATCCCCCGCAAGTGTGCCACACGCTGTCCTAAATCAGGAAAGACTGATACTAAAAGTAAGTCTAATTTACTAAGTGTACATAGTAAACAAAGAAGAAAACCTTCTATCTCAAACTACTTTGAGCTACCTTTCTCTTCGGAGTTGCCAATATATAAAATCTTCTATAGTTCACAGAAAATGTCTTAGAGCTGCTTGTCAAAAGGCTCTGTTACTGCTTCGAATGCATTTTTGCATTATAAGAAGATAAGCACTCCAGCCTCAGCACAGGGCTGTTAAAGTGTGTGAAACTGTATCACAGCTCTGCTGTGATGTCCTATTGCAAAAACAAGCATTACCTTTCACAGGCTTAGCTGTACTAGCCCAGAATTAGAGCAGCACCTGTGAACCGAACCCCAAAAGCCTGGCTTTGCTTCAGTACATCCATAGCCCTCTCTGAGGCCAGCTGGGTTTTCAGATGTGCGTGTCAGCCCTCAGAGGGGTCCTACACCACTTCTCACGTCCTTGACAGGCAGGAGGATCTGAAGTTCCATTGCTCCCCTCCCGTGGTGGCAGAGACATGCCGAGAGACTGCAGGTGTGCAGAGACTTGTAGAAAGGGGATGGGAAGAAAACTATGGAGGTTTGGACAGGGCTGGAGGCATGGGTGCAGCAGCCCATGTTGCAGAGCTGAGAGGGGGACAGTTGCAGGTGATGCCTGCCCAGACACCCAGTTTTCATCTTCTGTTGCAGCAGTGCAGGGCCCGTGGGTTGAGTGTTTCAGACCTGCCAGAGGAATGAGCTTTTGGGGACTTGGCGTCTGGGTGGGGTAGGCAGCATTGAGAATCTTACCCTTACGCTTACTGCGTAAGTCGTTGCTCCCAGAAAAGTCAGAGCTGTCAAAATCCCAAATCTATATAGGAAAACAAATCATGTCATGGCTCCTGCCTTTCATGGTTTGCTGCTTTTCCCCTCTAAATTTTTTGCTGGCTTGTGGGTTTGATGCTAAATTAATGAAAAATTCAACTATGTGTCAGTTTTAACATTTCTAGCATTATTCTGTTAAGTCCAAATCTGAAGCAACAGTATGTTATATACTAATATTAGTGTAGGGTTTTTTTAAAGCCTGTGTTAATTTTGTTATTGGTACTCAATAGCAAGACTGTGATCCTCTGTGCTTTTTTTTGGCTGTCTTTGTTAATTTTTGCCTGGATGTTGCAGGGCCGGGCTCTGCTCCATTGGGCGTGCGACAGAGGACACAAGGAACTGGTTTCAGTACTGTTACAGCATGCCGCTGACGTTAACAGCCAGGTAAGAAAGGAATGAAAAGTTGAATTTGATTGATGTGTTACATAGCCTCCTGACCAAATGTTTCATAGGAAACTGAATTGTTCCAAAACTCTATAGCAAGTTCTCTCAGGGCACTTATTGCAGAGAAGAACATCCAAAAAGGTAACCTGGAAAAAATAACAGAATTTGGTTGCATGAAACACATAGTCATAAGGGGCCTTTTTCAGTTCCTGCTGAAACTTCTCCCTGCACTAAAGTTTTTGTTCACCTGGCTGTGGTTTCCAGTGTGACTCGTGGTACTAATGGCAAGAGGTATTTCCTGCATATGAGATGTTTGGTGGCTTCCTACATAAAGTGCATTCTCCAATGTATTTTTTGTAACACTACACTCTCAGTAGATCTTTGTGGACTAATGGAAGAGAATCCCACTTTGCCTAGGAGAAAAGTATCTAATAAATGCCTGGTTTTGGCAAAGCTCACCGCAGGCGTAGGTGATGCTTCAGGTCACGGTGTGGTGGGCACATGGCAGCTAGAGTAGGATCTCAGTGCTGACTGAGGGCAAAGTCAAATGGCTTATGCCATTTCCATCCCCATATACCCACCTCACCCTCTTGGGAGTCACGATTTCTAGCACAATTTGATTTAACTGAACATAAAGCAGCTTTTTAGCCACTGCAGTTTGCAGCCCACATGTCTGAGCTTAACTAGCAGCAGTTTTAGGGTACCTTAATAGACCAAGCTGTGAACTGCACTGGTTCAGTGACTACTTTGCAAGTGATTCATTCCAGTCAGCCAGCTTGAGTCTGCCTGTGCTCATGAGTCAACGCTCCTAGTTTTGTCTGCTTGTTGTAATTAAAGGCTGACCTCTGTAAATGCGATTGTGTTTGGAAATAATTGTCCAACATATTTCTGTCAAATTATGATTGACTGCTCTTTACCAGCATGGCACTTATTGGCTTTGCTTTCCTGCCCAGTTTGGACATAGATACACCTCTGCTGACAAATCTGCTAGCTCTTACCAGTGAGATCTTAAGCAGCCTTGCGATAAATGCTTCAGGAATTTGTGAGAGGGGGACCTTAAGCACAGTTGCAATCTGAAGGCTTGTGAGCCAACCTGTGGTGTTCACAGGCTACAAATAGCTGTGTTGGTATTTATGTACACATGAAATCATTGCAAAAAAAAAGTATTTCTTGCCCTTGTCTGGGCAGAATTGCAGGTGGGATGGGTATTAGGAAGCATGGCTCTGCAGTAGCTGGTGAGGGACGTATCTTCATGCTTAGACCTTGGGGATTTCAGTTGTAATGGATTTTATAGGAGGTTTTTCCTTATGTAGAAGATGGGCAGTGGAGCCAGTACAAATGGGGGGCTTTGCACGCCCCCCTGTCAGACTAGACCATTGCCTTTTAGGGAGAGCTGGTGAGTGACATGTCGGATACATATGAGAACAGCTTTACCTTGAAATCAGGGAGGAGTCGGATCATGACACCTGCCCGTCCCCTTTGTCCTGGCAGCCGGGGAGATGGTTCTGACTGGGACGCTGTACCGCCGCAGCAGTCTGAAAAGTCACTTCTCTTTGACACTTGTATCATTTCTTTGGAGGTAAAGTCTGAGTCTTAGAAGAAAAAGCTGAAGGGAGAGTCATCTTATTTTTCCCTGAGCATTAATTTTCTGTTAGATTCTTCTTCCCCTTTTTTCTTTTTGATGTATTGCACATTTTCTAACCAGATTATTTTTGGCCAGTAACAAAAGGTTAATAATAGCCATAAAAAGAAAATCAATCTTTGAATATTTTTTTTCCCCCCACCAAGGTAATAAAGGAGAATTTTTTATAAAGGTCTCTGTTCGCACGTAGGTGTGTTCCCAGAGAAGGCAGACACATTTTTATTCTCAGCCATATATAAATTGCAATAACATTTCAAGACTTTGTGACCTAATGTTTATTTCTCTTTTTTTTTTATTTTGACCTTTACCCTGTAAGAATTCACATCCAAAGCAAGAGCAAAAGGAATTTTAAGAGCAACCAGAAGAAAAAGGGAGAGGGAAAAACTCTGGCTTCCTAACAGGCTATAAACACTGCAGTGCCTGCTATTATACATTACCAAATGCACTATCAGTTAATGTGTAGGCTATAAAGAACGGTGGGTTAAGTGTAAGGGAATCTCTGGTAACTTGAATCAGTGACGCTATTACTTTAAAGCAATGTGTTCTCAGTAGAGGTTCCCTTCGCAGGCTGCTTGCAGTACCTCTACCAGAGCCTGGCGTGCAAGCAGCCTCTGCGATTTCCACCTGCTGCTCAGGTCTTCAGGTGTTTTTCTGCCTTGTTCAATTTTGCAGCAGTACCTGCACACAGGCAGCATAAGAGATGAAGAATAAATTAGGAATTATGAGGGTTTTGAGGAGATAGTGAAGGAGAGAAATGTTATAGACCAATTTTTTTTTAAATTGCCCGTGTTTTAGTATGCTTCTAAAAAGTTGGTCAAACAGCGCGACAGATTTATACTCTCTTCCATTACCTTTTTAATAAATGCTCTTCCATCTTGGCTCTCTTGGAGTGTGCTAAAGGATTTAGCTGCCCTAAGCAGACAGTGGGATGGTGCTCTGCTAGGTGACCTGGAGCGAGTCGTACCAGTTCGCTGTGCCTGTAGATGTGGCTTATTCACTTTTTGCTGCCTTACTTTAATTATCTTTGTACTATCTATTGTCCAACTACTTGCAGTCGCTGGATCAAGAGGCTCTGCAAGAGTCAACTTACTGCTCTTTGTTGATAAGCAGCTTGGGAGCAGGAGGAGAGGTCACCTGGCTCTGCTCATTCCTGTAGCATGCTCAAAACTGCTTTAATGCTGGGAATAACCACGCACTCCTGGACTACAGTGGTCCAGCGCCTGTGCTTTTTGTTTTAAACAGTCGTACTGCAGTTTCAAAAGGGTGGTTCACTAATGTCACTGAAAAGCTGCAGCCATTGAGTTCTCTGATTGTTTATAATTAGCCCTAATAGCACCTTTGAAAAGAGGTGGTAAGGGATTGCCATGGGCAAGGGGACACAGAAAGGCAACGGGCTTCTCTACTTTGTTGAAAAGGGGCATTTGTGTAATTGAATTACCTAAATCTTCAGAGCCAGAGGCCATTTCAAAGTGGGTGGTGGTATGGTATTTTGGAACTCTGCTGGAAATACCCGGAGCTTGGAGCTCAGTCTGAAAACAGCCTCCTTCCACTGGAACTGTTTGCCTAAAATATAGGCTTTTAATTGAGCGATGGAAGTGAAAGGAAGGGGAGTATATTCATAACAGTTATGAAGGAGCTCGGCAACGTGATTATAATATCCATTTCTAGCTTTAAAATATATGAAGACGTGAATGAGTTTTCCTTGCAGAGGATGAGCAACAAAGGAAAACCTTTTTCCCCTACAGGGAGAGTTTTTCCTTGCAATGGTTTCTCTGGCCTTGGAACGGAGGTTTTCTGGGGCCAGCGGAGGCACTGAATGCAAGCTGCGCAGAATTGCACCCCAGCTTCGTGCTCCCCCGCGGCTGTGCCATGGCATCCTCCGTGTTCCCCGAGCCAGGAGCAGCGAGCTGGCCTGGTCGGAGACTTTATTTGTCCTCGGTTATATCTGGTGGTGCAGTGCCAGCGTGCAGGAGACAGCAGAACTCAGCTCCGCTCCTGGATGTGAAGCGCTGCTCAACCAGCTTTCGGAGGAGCTCCTTTAGCGTATTTAGGGGGAAGTTTAGGCACAGTATACTGCTCCAGTGCTGTTAGGTGGAAGAGTGCTCTTGGGACAGGGTCTAAGTCTAGTCACCTCCTCCTGCAAGAGCAAGGCAACTAAGGCAGCTTGAAAAGGAGGATTCTATGCTCTGGTGCAAAGGCCCCATGCGATTGCTCATCCTACACAGGGAGCATCCTACACAATACAAATCACTACTGCTGTTTTAAGAAAGATGAAGGGCATCGTAGTATAGTAATTGTCCAATGAGAGAGAAAAGGACAAATAGCATCTCTCATTTGTAACGTCAAAACAGTAGACCATAGACTCTCCTCCTGGACTTGCTGTGGCTGTACTTTGCTCCATTTGTGGGTATGCTTTACTCCAAAATAATAATGTGTGTTCAGGGCATGCCCTTGGGAATGTGCGGGGAGCTATCCTGGAGTGATTGCTACAGATCAGCTTACTCTGAAAAAGCTCTTCAAGCCTATCTAGTCATGTGAACAAGTCTTAAAATAAATATTGTTAGTTGTAAGTGGAACTGTATCACATGACACACAGGATAATTAAAGGCTGTGTACATATCTGTGGTAGAGCAGATGAGTTAAAATTGTATCTAAGCTTTATTTTATGATTTTTAAACTACATAATTGTGCAGTTCTATTAGTTGGCTTATCAATGTTATGGTAATCATTTATGTATGCTTAAATTGTACTATAATTATCACTACAAGGATGAAAAAAGCTATAACTGATCTTCAGTTTTTATTTGCTGACCTTTCCTAGTAAAGGTGCAGATCACTGTACTGAGACTTTAAACCGTTTGTCAGCAAGTTTTCAATGGTCACCCATGGACCCACAGGGGTTTGAGAAGGAAACGTGAGAACCAAAACTGAAAATGATCGGGTTAGGAAATCTGTTGCTAGTATATGTGGATTTTATTTTATTCATTCATATACACTAGTAAGTCCAGTGAAAAGCATCTAGTGTCTGTGCTGTCTGCAGAAAGAGTTGGCTGGTCATTGGTGCCAATGTTGTATCTGTATCATGTACCAATTCATGCAAGGCTGCACACTTGTCTGAAGTCATGCTTGTTAGCATGTGATTTTGAGTTAGCTGGATTTTTTTTTCTTTTTTTTCTAAAAGACATCTAGAGTAGCAGGAGGAGCGTGGTTGCCTCCCCAGCTTGTCTTTTTTCCCAGTCCCCTGCCATGCACCTCTAGCAGACAGCTGCTTCCCTCCTCTCTATTTGCATGCTAACACACTTGTGAGTCAGAGGGCTTCTGGAGACAGGGACATGGAGTAGCTGTCCCCTTGTAATACT